CAAACAATTAAAGCTTCAGACAGAATCAACAAAAAAGTTGCAGGGGTTGTCCATGGCCAGGTTGAAACTGTTGGTACTAGCTGCCAGGTCAGGGTTCATCTGCTCCACAGGGCGTGAAGGTGGAGCGGGGTGCGAGTTTCCCGGGGGAAGCATGAGGGAGGAGTATGCTGGAGGGGGGTCATTTGGGTGGCTGTGGGAGGTGAGGGCACTTGTTGGGTGAGGGTGGGCAGGGTGGGAAGGATGGGGAGGGAGAAGGGGAGGCAGGCCAGGAGGGTGTGACAGATGTGGTGGATGTGATGGGTGGGAGGGATGCAGAGGGTAAGTCGAAGGCACACCTGTAGGGTGCTGATGAGTGGAATGAGGCGGAAGTGGTTGCTGTGGTGGTTGGGATAACGTAGTTGCTGTTGATCTCTCAGATCCACTGGATCCCCCACCTGTTCCACCTGTCCCACCGCCACCACCACCTCCGCCACCACCAATACTGCCACTGCCAGAACCACCACCTCCACTACCCAGGCGGCGAGCACTGCGCTGACTGGCCTCACTATCACTTCCACTTTGGGCTGGAGATGCCGATTTTCGTTCAACTTTTTTCTGGGTTCCACCACTACTACCTGCAAAAAAAGAAAAGAAAAAGGAGAATAAGTAACTTTTATATAATCCCTCAAAGTAATATAATTAACCCCTACAATCCGGATGACGATACAGTCTTGTCATGGAAAAATCTGGGTCGAGGGCTCGGTCATCGGGTAAAATGACCATGGGCCAGGTGACACGAACTTGCTGTCATGAGCGAAGGCCAGGGTGACAGAAAAGACTTGCCACGAGTGCACAAACCTCTTGGAGTGTGATTTAACTCATTTGGCGCTTAGATGGGGGCTTTAGCATTATTCACATTGATAAACAAATGTGGAATTTAACATGCGTAAGCCATGACTGGAAGACTGCCAGCTCCAAGGAGGATACCATTTCCATGCTGTGCATTGTATGACATCGTCTTCCCAGAAGTTACCACTGCTCTGACCACTGGTAAAATTTACCATGGTAACTCCAATGGCAAGTTGTTAGTGAATACCACTGCTGTCTGTTTACCATGGTAACTATAGTTACCAGTGATTTTCCCATTGTAAGTGCGTTAGTGAATCCGGGCCCTGGCTGCTGAGACTGGCAGCGCAGGTTGTATTGCGTAAAATTGAAAATTACAAATGACCAAATGTTCCATTTTGTTTTTCCTTGCACCAAGTTAATTACTATATAGAAATATGATATGGAGTCTGTGCAAGGAAAATAAGCTATTACCATCTGGATAAAGCAAATAAAGACAAATATGGACATTGGAAAATAGCAATAAAGCAAAAAAAAGTTTGCCCAATATAACTTTGAAAAGGGGAGGCAAAGAGTCTATGACCCACTGTCAAGCATAACCATGACTACAAGGACTGTCTACATTCCTATGTTCATTAGGTCCATATAAAAAATACTCTAGCATATATATATTTACTACCCTAAAGCCACACTTCAACTGGTCTTGTCTTTGCCTAGGACTTGTGTCCAAGTAGCCAACCAGGCTTCTAGTTTGAGCAACAGACACGTGGGCTTAATTTGGACTTATTTAGTCTTTTGTTTCAATGGCATATATAATTTTTTAATAACGAAGAAAGGAAACTAATTTACTGATTAACATTTTATGGCCAGTCTGACGAGCTGTCAAGTGAAGTGGGCCGAAGGACCCATTGGGTCCCTCAGACATCCATCATTCGCATGCCTGACATAGTCGCAGAGTGAACCAAGTATGGTATAGAAAGTATAGAAACGAACTGCGTGTCTCAGAGATGAAAGTACACACTGCGGAGATAAGGCCACAACTAAGTTGTGAATAAAGGGAAGATGGGCGTGGCTACATCCTATTACTGGTGAGGTGACCCTGATGAGAGTCAAACATTCGCCGAGACAGCTTCAGCCCTCCCAGTTAGGTGGAGATGCTAGCTAAATGAACACCCCAGACAACCACAGAGGCATGTAAATGGTAAATTATAGGAAAGAACACTGAAGCTGCAATTAAGGGACTTACATGCGAAGTCAACGTATGCGAGTGTATGCTCCTTAGAGCAATGTATATTTTGTGAAACATTTGATATGAAAAAAGGTGTTCTTGACTAAGGATTTCGTGGCTCCTGGTGAGAAAGTGACTCTGAGAACATCAGGAGCAGGCAGAGTATGACCAAAGGAGAATTGAAAAACCATCCTTCTTAGTACAACGGATCCAACAAGTACTGCAGGGCTTATAAGGAAGAGAGCAAGTCTGGAGATTTCTACAGATCGTGTGCAAGATCCACAATAAACCACGAACCAGAGTCAAATGAAGTAGCGTATCCAAGTTACTGTAAGAGCATAAATATTGAGATATTAGGTCAAAGGAGGCTGCGTAAAGAGCTAACAAGTACGAAACACCGAAAGAGAAGTACAAAATACAAAAAAAACATGATGGCAGATATTAAGCAAATCACAGGATGTAGAAGGGCACGACTATACACAGAACATCAGAAAAAAAGAGGGAGAGACTCGGAGACACAAGAGAGAGACGAATTACGTAGACAACGTAGACAGCCGCACTGTCACACGCGATAGAGTACAGTGAGCTAAGAAGGAATCCGCGCGCGAAACCTAGGTGCGTAGCTCAACACATGTAGGCTGGTACCAGGGTGGCACCTGCCTGCATTGTCACTAAGCGAGCGCGGACAAGTGCGCCTCACTTGAACCAGCCATTGGGGTTACATAGTAGGCAGGCCAGCTTTAATTATTAGTCCTCAAAAAAAATTATTATCTACAACCTGTCAAAACACAGTCGGCAGAATGAGCCTACAAGCACCACACGAATCCAGCGAAATTCCACCTCCAGTTGGTCATAGAGAGTGAGATTACTAGGATATAAAGTGCTCCATTGTGACCAGACCCAGCACAGGTCGTATTGAGCGGAGAGGACACATGAATAGCTGACACGATCGAAGAAAACACAGAAAAGATATCTAATACACAACAGTATAAAAGAAATGAGCGAGCATAGACCTCCTGAGAGCTGATATACTCTATGCACACAATTTAATAATAATTAAATCACTTGGAGTTCTGAAAGCCAGTAGTTATTAATATGACCTATCCACGAGAAGATAGAATAAGGGGAGTGCGGAAACCAAAGTGGAACTGGCTGGTCGAAATACGAGTCCTTCACTAGTAGCCGATCCTGCGGTACAGCATATGCGAATACGATTGACGGAGAAGATAGATAGATGAGTCTCTCAATGGTGACGGAGCGAGGGGTGACAATAGAGCTTAAAAACTGGCTTATAGAGCGACGAGGGAGAGACAGAATGAGACGCACTTGCAAAGGACAAGTCAGTGCGAGGGATCATCGTCATCTCCACTGGCATTACTTGATTGATCCACCACTTGACTAGCATATCGAACACTCTTATCTTCGAACTGACAACAATCGCGCGAAGTACACAAATGACTTTTTCCGAGAGCACTGCACACAACGACACTCATAGCACTACCCAACATATCACTGAATCTAACACTTTGACAGCTGAGAGCTGCACAGTATGACTTACCTGGTTGACACTTTGACTGACAGGATCATAGTATGACTTACTGGTATGAACACTTTGACTGACAGGATCATAGTATGGACTTACTGAGCGCGCTGCATGACGCACGACACTACGTCTATCATCACGCACCGACTCAGTGATATGGAACCACTAGAACCACGAGCCCAAAAACCGAGACATCTAGCACAAGGACTCATCACGATACAATCACACACATCCTATATCACATCTGAGTACTCAGACAACACACACCATAAATATCATGGTATGCGAACTTACTAAATAGACACATTTGATTGAGTGTGCACTAATACTTTGTCTGACAGGCATAGCATGACAGTTTAACTTCTAGATACAATATGATGCTATAAAAACTTGTCTACACAGTCTTGTTCGCGCATTAATAAGAGCAGCAGCGACTTATTTAAATCTGCAGATTAGTAAGAGGTGGTAAGTGCGTATATCACAATATGACACGCGAAAGAGGAGATCATAGCACAGCACAGTGAACTTCACTCGACTTACGGAACTTCCACATAGACCACAAAGATACACTTGATTTCAACACCATATATGCTAAGGAATGAGATCCATCTGGTCCAATGCTTTGAACACTAAGAGACAACTTAAACAGAAGCTATGTGCTGATGCGAACTCTGAAATATTGCGAGAGCGACACTGAAAGATCTGCCACACTGTATAATCTCTTCATAATTGGCACGGCTACCTAACACACCATATAGCAATATGTAGAAAAGATATGCATCCATAGATCATTTCCCTAATTCTTAACCTTAATCTTAAAGCTGTGACAACGCGAAAACTAGTAACAAAATCTAAATACCCAAACATACTCGCTACAATAGAACAACTTCAACAACTTGCAACGTGAAACTCAAGTGAGTCTAATATCTCATTTATCGCGAATCAGACACATCAATATCTTGACTCTGCAAAAAGTGTCAAGATCAAGGAAAGAACAGAATACGCTCTATCGGAGCGCATCCACCATGCTTGCCGTTCCCATGTTTACACAATGCACTAATAAAACTCTGATGTCGTGAGTAACTAGGGTTGACTATGCTACGCATGTCCGCACTTCCCAATAAATACTTGATTGCAAAAGTGTCAAGATGGAAGAAAATGTTATCATGGCTTCCAGCTGCCTCCCATGTTTACACACTGTAGGGACTATGCTCTTCCATGTTTTAGAATGCCTCTCTTTACAAAATGGTGGAGGACTATATGGAAAGGGTCACTCCCCACTGGTTAATGATTATGACCTTATGCAGGCTGGATGTGAGGCTCAATAATAATTCAACCCATCAAAATCTAAACTCAACCTACAAAGTCCAAGCTAAGCCTCAATGAAGCTTCTTTGTAAATTACATCTTAACCCCCAAATGACTGCATTTTCTCAATTTCACCTTGTTGTCTCACTACAAATAGGTACTGAAGTCATATTTTTCACTAAATGTAGTTTTTATCTTTGATGTTTGTAGAACACAAGTTTACACAATCAGGTCTCTATCTATCTCTCTCTCCCAATAAGAAATAAATCTAACAAAATTCTATACCAAGATGTCCACATTTGGCTTGATCCTGTGTGCAGTTATCTCCATACCTTGCCTTATGAATGTTCAAAACAGGTGGTTAGATACTTGTGTGCAGGATCAAGCCAACTGTGGATTATACGAACATATTGACACAAGATTTCTTTTAATTCATCAAATTCAAAATATGCAGGCAGGGTGTGTACATGCACAGGATTGACGCAAACAGGATTATGCAAAGTTATTTTGTATTTTTTCATTTTCCAATATCCATATTTGTCTTTTGATTTACTTTATCCAAATGGCAAAAGTTTATTTTCCTTGTAAAGACTCCATATCATCTCTCTATGTAGTAAGTATGGAACATTTGGTTATTTGCGTCACAAAATTAATTTTTCGTAATTTTCAATTTTACGTAATGCAGCCTGCGGTGCGCAGCATAGAAATGGCGTCCTCCCTGGAGTCGGCGCTCTTCCAGTCACAGCTTACACACATTACATTCCACATTTGTATATTGATGGGAATAATGCTAAAGCCCCCAATTCTAAGTGCCAAATGAGTCAAATCACACTCCAAGAGGTTTGTGCATCCTTGGCGAGTCTTTTCCGGCACCCAGGCCTTCGTAAGTGACGGTATGTTCATGCTACCTGGCCCTCGACCCAGCTTTTTCCAGGGTGGGACCATAACGTCATTGTAGGGGTTAAGCTCTCTTTCTCAACGTCACTCTTTTATTCTCTTTCTATCACTCTCTTACATTCTGCCTAGTTTTCTTTCTCTTTCTACCTCTCACTCTTTGGACTATCAATTTCACTCTTACTCTCACTCTTGTTCTTAGTCTCTCTCTGTCCCCTTCTTTCTCAACCTCTCTCCATCTCCCTCTATAAGAAGTAAATGAATACAATAAAAGCTAAAGCATGTGGTATCACTTACCAGAACCACTGTTGGTGCTGCTGTCTCTATTAAATGCATATGATTCATTGGTGTAATTGAATGGCATTGGCGCGTAGCCTGTAGCCGGGGGAACATAAGTGCCAGCATATGGCATATGTGGGCCACCCCAAGGTGAAGCTGCCGATGGGGGCGGTAAAGGCGCTAAGGTGTCCCCCTCCCTGCCTCACCTCAGTGTGCCTCGTCTTCCCCTCTCGATACATTTAATAGCTGGATATGACTGAAGACAAAACCTGTGCGGCCCACTTTGTCTATATATAATATACACACTTAGTTCATGCGCGACGATTACGTGTCATTGGAACAATTATATTTGCGGTAAAAAGTAATATTTATCAGTAAGAGTGGACGTGTGGAAAGCGGAGAGTGACAGCGTAGAGAGAGAGAGAAGTGCAGGATGGTGGCGCAGAGTAGAGCCAGACTAGCGAGTAGAGGTGGGGGACAAATTTGTGATATATATAGTAGGAGAACAGTTGGCGAGGATGATGAGACTTAGTTGTAGAATTTTTGGAAGGACGGAGAAATTAGATTGCTTTGAATTGAGTACAAAAGAAACAAATGATGAGATGCAATCAGAGACTTAGAGAGAAATTTTCAGTGAGACGTGAAGAAATCACAAGAAGAGAGTGAGAGAGATAAGAAGATATAGAATTGAACCGAAAGCAAAGAAAAATAATGATAAAAAATATTAGCAAGAAATTTGAGAATGTGAAGATGAGTAGAGAGAAGCCATTCTGAAGAATCAGAAATAATAAAGTAAAGAAGTGAGAATGAGAAAATAAATAATGAGATAGAAGTAATACAATAATAGACAGAAGAGAGAAGTAGAAGAGAACAGAGCAGCAACTATGAGCTTTATTTTCCCCAAATAATCCTAGCTCAAAGTAGATGCACACGCCACCCCAAACGCCGAGTCATAGACAACGAGAGAAATCACGCAGTGTGATCAATATGTACAAGAGATGATACACAACGCAAAGCCTCCACAGTGCTGAAAATACGGGCACGAGAGACTTCCTATGATCTACAAAGCGAGGTATACCCTGCCCGCTCGCAGTGTGTCAGGCGCCTCGAAGCACGTGTGCACACTCAATGAAGCGGCGGAGAGCAGAGCAGCCTCCTGACCAACTCCCTATAATGCAAGAGAGCGGCGAGGGGTAGCGATTCCTGTGAAAAATCTCTTCTGCTATCTCACACTTGGGCTTATTAGACATTTATGCCACCCAAAGAGTACATAATTTGTCTCTAATTCGATTTGGGCTCTATCTAAATGGTGACACCAGACTTTTACGTGCCCTCGTGCAACAGACGCAATGGATCTAGTGCCGTGGATCGCTTAATATAAGTAAAAACGGAATAGAAAGGTCAGAAAAGGAAATTTTATTTATTTTATGTTTGATGTCATATACGCTTATTTCCGGTAACTTATTCCTAGGGATTAACCCGCCACTAATACAACCTACACGCACCTACAGCAGTTGGCAAATGCGCGAAATACGATCACGCCCAGGATCAATGTGTAAATTGGTCTATATCTCTCTGGATGCCCCCATCAGACAGTAAACACCTTAAGGCCGAGTACGAGTAGACTAAAAGGCAAGGTAAGGAAAGAGATACAGCAACCGTACCAATATCAAAACGATTTGTAACACACAAAAGACGCATATTACAGTACAAGTAGAGAAGTTAAAATGAGAGACAAAGAAAGACCCTCGCAAATCTATAACAAACTCTAAGAGTAAGTGCGAGCAATGCTGGCAAAGAGGGAATTGTGCACTTGTGTGAGGTACGTTTTGGCGCGTGCACGCGGGGGGGAAGGCGGGGGAGGGAAAGGGAGCGCTGTTTTGCAAAAACTTTTCAGCATTCAGCAGAGAAGTAAGGCCACTTTGTTCAACAATACGGAGAGAAAAAAAACAGGCGGCTCGAGCTTAAAAGAACAGACACAGACAAGACACAGACACAGCTTAAGACAGACAACAGACACACAGCACACGCACAAGTAAATCCCTCTCTTCTCTCACATACATACACACACCACACGACACTCACTTACATCACACTAACTCTCATCTCTCTCTCTCTCTCCTCTCTCTCGTCTCTCTCTCGCATCTTCGTCTCTCTCTCTCCTCACACATACAGCACACTGGCCATGACAAGCAAGTTCACCTCAATTTGGGCTGAATGGCTGATGGCCAAGTGATGGGAATATACCATAATAAAAGAATTTGGCTGAGGGCCAGGTGGTGGGAATATACCATAATTGAAAAATTTGGCTGAAGGCCAGGTGATTGGAATGACTTGCCAAAAATGCGCAAAAGATCTACCTCATCAGTGGATTTAGAAAAGGGCTTTTGCATTATTTCTACCAGTAAATAAGTGTGGCATGTACCATCCCACACTTGCGCTATGGCTCTATGAGCCATAGACAAATCAACAGCTCTCCAGGGAAGACACTATTTCCACTGTAGGATCCTATTATTGTCCACCATGACCAATAGCATAGGGTGTGTTACAGAAAACTGGATAATATTTTAAAAATAACACAAATACAAAATATTATTGCTATTACACATAGTTGTAGACTACAAAAGAGATGATATGGTTTGTGCAAGGAAAACAGCCAATTACCTTCTTGATACAGCATAACAAATGACAAACATAGACCTTGGAAAATGGCAAAAGTAGAAAAGTTGCTGAAGCAGAAAAAAAAAAAAACATTGTAAAGGGGAGCCAGAGATTCTTTACAATGCATAGGAGTGTTCTGTGGGTTATGCCTACATAGCCCACATGGGAGTCCATATTCAAGTAAGCCAAATGCCCAGATTCTGGCCAATATACCGGCAGCAAGGCACCCAGCTCCAATGGGTTAACGTTTAGGTTTAGTATTGCTTTCAGCCGGTGATAAATATACTAAAAAGTTCTAAACCAGAACAATAATGCATACCTATACCCGTGTTGCATTGCATCATTCCATCATAAATAAAACACATTATGTACACTGTAAACATATCTGAATATGAAGTACCTTCCAACAACAAGTGCTCTGTAACTGTCTATCAAATTAGTTTTCAAAGTACAAGAGAAAATATGAAAACATATCTACAGTTTGACAAGTAAATCTAATTTTCTTTAAGTTTCTTCATCATAATCATCTGTTGATATGCACCTTAAAGCAAGGACAGAGGACAATGGTTCACACACCCAAACAACCAACTTACAACTTGCTGTCTAGAACAGAACGCGATGACCGCCAGTGACAGCAGATATGGGTTCTCTACCGTGTCTAGCGAACCAGATAGGAGACCTGCGAATGCAATATGAATGATCATCCAGCATCTGGGTGCCTTAATCAACACAAACATGAATACAGTTCGAAGCGGGCGCTGAGAAAGGTTGGTGTCTATATGCCCTTGGCAGCGCTGCGCGCGCACCGAAGAGCGCGCGCTAAACCATATTTCATCATCAACAGGCCTTATGTCATGTCGAGACTGGCGGAGAAACGCGAGAGGAACATGTGTGAATGTTGGGAAAAAAAAAAAAAAAAACGAGACACCAAAAAAATTCCGGACGGCGATTCGCCGAAATCTCGAGCAATCTCAAAAGATCGAACACACTTTCTACTCCACACATGTTTTATCTCTTATTTTTCTATTACATTGCTATAACCACACCACCCATCATTCACTAACACAAATCCAACGAAAATGACTCAAATGACATCAGAGCGAGGACAGCTACGATACATATCAGACTATCAACAAACATCAAAAGCACAAACATTTCATTGCAGAGCAGAAAACAAAATACATCAACTAGTCAAAGCAACATAACAACAGCAAGCAATCAAACCCACCGCAACAACAGAACCTATTCAATCAAGCAAAGAGTGCCCAGACATCTGAACAAAGGATAAAGATCATACATCTAGTAAATATCCACACACATCTATGACAAAGACAAAACAGAATAAAATACGAGGAAAACAAACAAAATAGAAGAAAAGAAACACGAAGTAACAGAAGATACAGACTTCAGTAACAAGAACAAAGACTATGAAGAAAGAAGAAGAAGAAGAAGAAATGCAACAATAGTCAAAGACACGAAAGACAAACAAGGAGAAGAGGAAAAAAATATCACCAAATATACAAGACAAAAAATCACCAAACTTACTTGTACATCTCAGATCAACGCAAAACACAATAATAGCACTGTTCGGAAGATGAGACCTATTTTCATCTAATCTCTAGTTGACGTATAGGACTAAATAGATGTCAGTCCCAACATCAAAGATAACAATTGGACCATCAATGCGAAAGCAACATATATAAAGTCAAAAGAGACTATCGCCACGACCGCGAACAAATCTAGTCACAAGCCGTCTACCATCTCTGGATCAAGCCACAGCACCATCCGAACTAAGCACAACACAAAGACAACACACCACTACTATGAGCGGATCACAGCCGAGCAATAAGAAAGGAATTTTTGGAAGCTAAGCTTATTTATTAATATTACTCTTTGAAACACCCTGGGTTGTTTAACACTATCTCACAAAACATGAATAAACAAATACCACACAACAATGATGGAATGTTGTGATGGCGTGTGTGTAGCATGTATGTGTGTGTGAGTGAGTGTGCTTCCGAGCTAACAATACATATCTGTGTGGCGCCATATGTACAAGCACAAATCTGCGAACATGTGTGTGCATAGTCATACACGTATTCGTGTGGATCGACTAACAGACTGGCACTCGAAGCACGCTCTAGCACCGTTGACGAGTCAATCAACATCGATGAGATGGTGGAGAGTTAATGGTGTATGTGTGGTATGCAATGTGTGGAACCTCAGCAGTCGTGTACTAAATTATTGTACACATCGAGAGTCTAGGACATAACATGGATGATGCAAAATAACTGCATGGGTATGACGCGTGTTGTGCTTGGTTTGTATTGAGTGTGAGCTATTAGAGGCCGAATCGTTCGTGTGTCGGCGAATAACCCAAGTGGAAACATAGGTGTGTGCGGGACTAACACAAATCAATGTGCATGCAGTGCAGGTGTGCATGTGATGAGTAAGTGAGGGAAATAGGATAATATAGGTACGAAAAGAATAATGATATGGCAATGGTAGAAAGTATGAGCGAGTAGTAAGACGGAAGGCAATAGTAGAT